CATGTTGGTATTATCATTGCATTCTTCCTGGCTGAGGCAGATCGGTCGCCGGCCTCTGGGCAGCCACTCATGGCAGCTCTTGGCAGCTCATTCTGGCTGCTGGCCGCTCACTCTGGCTGCCAGCCACACATGGTAGCTTATGGCAGCCCACTGCAGCAGGGGCTGCAGCCTACGCTGTCGCCGGTGACTCACAGCAGCCCAGTTCCAGGTCGAGCCATTGGTCACCATCTTAGCTGTAGAGGGAAGTGTCACTGGCCCTCATATGTGGGATCCGAACCGGGGCCCTGCTGCTCAGAGTTGGCATCCCAAGCCAGCTCTTAACCAACGCGCCACTCGGCCGGCCCTTATTTTATTTTTTTAAAATTTATTTTAAAGATTTTATTAGGGAATTGGGGAAAGGGAACAGTGTGGGGGAATTGGGGAAGGAGAACAGCCAAGTTGTTGTCCTTCAATCTTAGTTGTGGAGGGCGCAGCTAGCTCAGTTCCAAGTCCATTTGCCATCCGGCCCCCCGTGGGCAGCTCAGGGCAACTCAATTCAAGGTGCCTTGTTCAATTTTAGTTGTGGGTGGGCATAGCCCATCATTTCGTGTGGGAGTCGAACCAGCAATCTTGTTGTTAGGAGCATGTGCTCTCACCAGCTGAGCGATCCTGCCACCTGTTGGCAGCTCAGCTCAGGTGCAGCTCACTGGCCCATGTGGGAATTGAACCGGCGATCCCGTTGCTCAGAGCTCACACTTTTAACCAACTGAATCACTCGGCTGGCCCAGGAGTACTTTAGCTTTACATGGCAGCAAAATCCAACAATGGTGGCTTAAACATGTCTGATTTTGTTTTCATGTAAAAGAAGTCAGGAAGTAGGTACCCAAGGCAGGTTCAACACAAATTGATCAGGGACCTGTTTCCTTACAGCCCGTGAGTGCTCCATGATCTCAGTTGTGACCTTTGTCCTTGTGATCCAAGGTGGCTTCTGGAGCTCCAGGTAGCCACATTCCAGGCCCCTGTGGGAGGGAGGGCGTGAAGAGATGCCTGTTCTCTTTAAAAGCATATTCTGAAAGCTGCACACAGCACCTCCACTTACAGCTCATTGGCAACATTTCAATCTCAGTGCCACATCTAGATGTCAAAAACAAACAAACAAACAAACAACAAACAAACAAACAAAGGTTAGGGAGTTTTAACTGGCCAGTAATAAGCCTGGATAAAAATTAGCATTTTCGTTATAAGGAAAGGATGGGGAAATGGATACCTTATTGGCAACCAGCAATCTCTGACACAGGGTGTGTGTGGTAAGCTGAAGAATGGGCCCCCATGTAGCAAAATGACACTGGAGATGTGATTAAGGATCTTGAGATAGGGAAGTTATCCTGGATTAGCCAGGTGGACTGCAGATGTAATCACAAGCACCCTTATAAGAGAAAGCTGAGGGAGATGTGACTATAGAAGGAGGAGACATGGTGATGAAAACAAGAGGCTGCAGTTATGCGCGGAAGGGGCCAGGAGCCAAGCGGTGAGGGCAGCCTCCGGAAGTTAGACAAGGGAGCAAACGGATTCTGTCCAGCAGCCTCCAGAAGGACCAGCCCTTCCAAGACCTTGGCTTTAACCCCGTGCTTCTAGACTTCTGGGTTTCAGAACAGTAAAAGAATAAATTTGTGGGGTTTTTTTAGTCATCAATTTGTGTTAATTTGTTATAGCAATCATAGCGACTAATAAAGAGTGAGAGTCAGCAGAAACAAAAAAACAAATATAGCCCCCCCAAAAGAATTCAGATGTTGTTACACTCAGATTCTGAACATTTGAAAGAAAATCTAAAGATAATGTGAAGGTAAAAAATGTTCACTTTAAAAATGTACATGGAGGGCCGGCCGAGTGGTGCGTTGGTTAAGAGCTGGCTTGGGACGCCAGAGGACCCCGGTTCAGATCCCACATATGAGGGCCAGTGACACTGCCCTCTACAGCTAAGACGCTGAACAACAGCTCAACCTGGAGCTCAGATGCTGTGAGTCGCAGGCGATGGCGTAGGCTGCAGCCCCTGCTGCAGTGGGTTGCCATGGGCTACCGTGTGTAGACAGCAGCCAACGTGAGCAGCCAGCAGCCACAGTGAGCGGCCGTCCAGAAGCCGGCGACTGATCTGTCTCGCCCGGGAAGAGCGCAATGATGGTGCCAACTTGGGCCAGTGAAGCAACGTCCTCTACAACTAGACTGAAGAACAAAACGACAGCAACTTGTCTGTTCTCCTTCCCCCAATTCCCCAATAAAAATCTTTAAAAATAAATGTACATGGAAGAGACTATCAAAAATGACTTGGAAATCACAAAACAGAATCCACTTTCAGAAATGAAAAATTATAACTTTGATACTAATAACACCATAAATGGGCTAACCTGAAGATTAGAAACAGCTGAAAAGAGAATTGGTAAACTAGAGAAAAGAGCTAAAGAAATTATCCAAGATACTGAACAAAGACATAGGGAGATGAAAACACTGACCCACCAATTAAACAATATGGGAGATAAATTAGCAAATAGAGGACAGACAACATTTGAAGTGATCATGGATAATAATTTCCCAAATATGATGAAAGCCATGAATCCACAGCTACAGGAAGGGCAACATATATATCAAGTAAGTGCTCAGTTAATGTAGGGAGCACATTATAATTACTTTTATTTCTGGATATACCCTCCCTCTGGTCACTGTGTGCAATCAAGTTCATTGATTATCACATGTCAGTGTGTAATTTACTCATTTTCACCTCCGCCTCCCCAGTGCATCTCACCTTTTCTACCTGAATCTTGACCCTTTTCCTTCCACTCCCACCTCACATATATAAACGTGAGCAGTGTCCAGGCTTGTCTGACAGAGCATTTAAAAGCACGTAGATGAATGCCAAGAAATAAATCCTAAGCATGAAAAGCCATAATCTTCTGTGTGTTAAGGCCCAACAGAGGGCTCCATCCACACAGGACATTGAACTCCGATGAAATAAAATCAAGAGACATCCTTCTGGGAAAATTTGGATGCTGATGGGGTCTGAATGGCTTGTGGAAAAGGCCACAAAAACTGGGGTTCCCAAAGAATAATGAATGCACATTTGGTTAGGGCATTTTGACAAACCCTGCTGGAACCCTGGCAGTTAAAGTCTCAAGCTGAAAGTGTTGGTTTTCATTGTGCCTTCAGGACTGGAGAGAAATAAGTACGAAGTCTTCCTCTTCCCCCATTTTCTTCTTTTTTTAGCTCCAGTACAGCGCAGGCCAACTGCATTTGGCTCAGGAATGAAGCATTTTGCAGCATGTTTTGGAGTGCTTCCAGAGTTGCAGTTGATTTCCAGAGTTGCAGTTGGTTTCCTTGGCTGGAAACAGATGGAATACCTTGCTACCTTCACTTTCCTCCAAATTCCTGACTCCCAGCAAACACAATCCACGGCGTGATGCTTAATGTGGTTCTTCTGTTCATTGCTGCCAGCTCCCAACTCTTCCTCAGATTTTTGTATTCCTTGGCTGCTGTTATTGTATCATGTAATGGGCTGATGTGTGTCCCCCTAAAAAGATATATTGAATCTGTATTAGGGTTCTCCAGTGAAACAGGACTAATAGGACATGCAGAGATATACAGAAAGAGATTTATTATGAGGGATTGGCTCACATGATTATGGAGGCTGAGAAGTCCCACAATCTGCAGCCGGCAAGCTGGAGGCCCAGGAAGGCCTGTGGTATTGTTCCAGTCCCAACCTGAAGGCCTAAGAACCAGGGGAGCCAATGGCGTAAGTCCTGGTCAGAGTCTGAAGGCCCAAGTACCAGGAACACTGATATCCAAGGACAGGAGAAGATGGATGTCCCAGCTCAAGCAGAGAGTACTTTAGGGAGCAGGGCAGCTACAATGCAAATTTCTATCCTCACAGAAAGTCCCTTCTTGTAGGTCTGGAGTGGGCCCAAGAGTCTGCATTTTTAACCCTGTGGTTCAATAGGACACCTGCAAAGTCAGGAATTATAGGATAAACTTACTGTTAAATAGTATGTTAGTTACTAAAGGGGTTTTGGTACTAATTCCAACATGGGGAGGGAGGTTTCCCCCACACCACCACGCAATGCTCTGGACACCAGCTGTGTGTCCTAACAATTCAACTCAATCCTGACAGTGTCTATCCAGAGACAGCTTCAGATCTCACAGGTTAAGGGGTCCATCCTACAACCCCCCACTGCTCCCATGCCCCACACTGCCCACTTCAGATGCCAGTTCCAAGACCAGGTTATTACCTGTACTTCTGACTGGCTGGCTATAGATCAGAGGTCCCCATGACCTCTTCCTTGGGTTCAATCAGTTTGCTAGAGTGGTTCACAACAGAACTCAGAAAACCCACTTAATCACTAGATCACTGGTTTATTATAAAAGAATATAAGTCAGGAACAGCCAGATAGAAGAAATGCACAGGGGGGCTGGCCAAGTGGCGCGTTGGTTAAGAGCTGGCTTGGGATGCCAGCTCTGAGCAGCAGGGCACTGGTTCAGACCCCACATGCGGACCAGTGACACTGCCCTCTACAGCTAAGATGGTGAACAACTGCTCAACCTGGAGCTGGGCTGCCGTGAGTTACCAGCGACAGTGTAGGCTGCAGTGGGGCTGGCCGGCAGCTGGCGTGAGCCTCCGTCAGCTGCCAAGAGCCATTGTGAGCAGCCATCCAATGGCCGGTGAGCGACTGCCTCACCCGGGAAGAGCGCAATGATAATACCAACATGGGCCAGCGAAGCAACGTCCTCCACGGCTAGATTGAAGAACAAAAGAACAGCAACTTGTCTGTTCCCCTTCCCCAATTCCCCAATAAAATTTAAAAAAAAAAAGAAAGAAATGCACAGGGGAAGGTATGGGGGAAGGGTGTGGATTGAATTCCCTAGAAGCAGATCCTGAGACGTGGCTTCAGGCGCACGTGGTTGACTGAGGGAGTGCTCCTCCAGAAACAAACAAACAAATGGAGGTAGGGAAACACGGTGGGGAGGGGGAAAGAAAGAGCAAGAACATTGCCTGAGATAAAACCTACCTTGGCCTGATGCATAGTGGGTGGACTCTGGAGCAGTGCTTTCCAATAGAAGTTACTGCCATGATGGGAATGTTCTATATAATTGGCACTGTCCAGTACAGCTATTACTAACTACATGTGGCCATCAATCATTTGAAATATGGCCAGCATAACCAATGAACTGAATTTTAAATTTCAATAGTGACGTATGGCTAATGACTACCATATCGGACGATGCAGTTCTGGAGTAGAAACCTCAAAACAGAATTGAGGTGAGGGGGCAGGTTTTTTTACGGCTCATCGGCTGGGAGCCACCCTCACCTTGGAGGGGCAGGCAAGGCTGTTAAGACATTCATTCACACAGTGATGGTGTGTGTGTGTGTGTGTGTGTGTGTGTATGGCCAGGTAAAGGGAATGGGCTGCACCACAGCGCCCACTGCAGGTTAGTTCTCACCTGAGTGAGAACTATTTTCATCCCACCTCATAGATTTCTCCAAGAACTGAATTGTGACCATGAAACAACCTGAAGCCAGCAACTGGCCATGTACTTCATACAGCAGAACAGCCTTCCTAACCCCCAGAGCTGTTGGTTCCTCTCCCACCCCAGTCTCAAATCTTCACTGGTAATTCTTCTACTGGTTTGCTGGTCTCAAGAGGAAGGCTATGATCTTTCACATAAGTACGCAGAGGGAATTTTTCTGTAGACTTCCGATTATTAGCTGTTTCAGCCATAGAAAGGAAATCTATTTGATTTTACAGTATCTCCTGCAATCTTTGAGATGGCTAGCCCAACAGCTCTAGAGAAAGAAGAAAAAACAAAAGCAACTTTGCCCTTTCTACACTGAAGTGTCACAGATACGAAGTTATAAATGAGGAAACACGGTTCATGTTTTATTTATGCCTATTACACATGATTTATGGTGTTGAAAAATGCATCCAGCCTAATTTATTCAGGAATTAACTTTGGGAGAGATTAATTTTGAATCTATGGCTCCTTCCTAAAGTATATCATCTCTATTCATAATCTTGGCTTGCAGACAGAGATGCTAGTCAGTGAAAAAAAAAAAGAAAGAAAAACAAAACCGTAAACAAAACCAAAAATTTCCAAAAGGAAATATTTTAAGTCCTTAAAATGAGGATAACAAGGTGTTTTTAAAATTAGGATAACTCTGGAGTTCACTAATATAGCCAGAACTTAGAATTAATCTTAACTGTTCTTTCCACTGACTTTGGATATTCAGTAGAGAGTTTTATATAAAAAGATGTAAAACAGAAGAAAATAAAAAAATAGGACTTTGCACATATCAAATATTTAATAATAATAAATTAGCAGCTCTGAAATATTTAGCTAGCATAACACTTATATCACCTATGTCACATCTTTATAGACTACCAAGCAAATGTGTGTGTGTGTGTGTGTGTGTGTGTGTGTGTGTGTGTGTTGGGAGAGGAAAGGATGGGAAGGATGGGAAGATAGCTGTGTCAAAAAACTCAAAAGGAAGCACAAAATATAGCTTTGAGCCCCTTGACAGTCAAGGAAAAAGGAGAACAATAGATCTCATGCCTAATACAAGAAAGTGACTTTGCCAAGAGGAACTAATTTTGTTTTTGTTTCAGACCGTTGTCTTTATTATTTTTTTAAAGAAAGCTATCTTTATTTGTAAAAACAAACAAATAAATAATATGATAGATGACGTCTTTTCTTTTTTTTCTTGGATCCCAGCCATGGGTATTGCCTTGCCGCCTGGCCCTGGCTGACACTGTGTTTGTGGCCCCGGGTCCTGAGGAGGCTGTTCAGAGCTTATCATACCTGCCTCTTCCTGTTTAAGCCTCAGGCCAGTCAGAGTGCCAGCAGGTGGGCAGAGAAGGAGACAAAGTGAGTGGCCCCCATCCATCCTTCCCATGGCAGATGATGCCCTCTCTCCACAGCTATTATGGTTTCATAACTCTTCTTTCCTGAGCCGTCTGGCACTGTCGCCACCCCAGCAGCCAGCCAGTGCCCAGAATTCCAGGCCATCTCTGGTGATGGATAAGGGTACCACAGGAGAGTGACAGGGGAGTGGGTACCAGATAGGTCTCCCTTACACATGGGGTCTGGTTTGGTAGTTTCTACTTGGAAAAAAAAAATGCTGGGGCATTCTACCTGACTATATATCTTACTGGACAAAAACAGTATAATATTAAGTCGTCATCCCCTAGATCAGCAGTTCTCAACCTTCCTAATGCCGCGGCCCCTTAATACAGTTCCTCATGTTGTGGTGACCCCCAACCATAAAATTATTTTCGTTGCTACTCTATAACTGTAATTGTGCTACTGTTATGAATCGTAATGTAAGTATCTTTTTGTTTTTTGATGGTCTTAGGCGACCCCTGTGAAAGGGTCGTTCGATCCCCAAAGGGGTCGTGACCCACAGGTTCAGAACCGCTGCCCTAGATTATCTGGCCAAATGAGTGATTCCGGCTTGCTTCTAGACTGTCCTTGAAAGTTGCATGATTTAGTTCTGAAAGGGAGAACAAATCTTGCTCCTCTGCCAGCACTGCACAAAAAGCAACGCAGGAAGCTTGGTGAACTGCACAAATCTCTACTAGGTACTTTTCTACCACGTATGGGGGAATTACTGCCCCTTGAAACCTATCACAGACAGAGAAGAAGGAGGTCATAACACAGAGTTTTGAAGGACCCCACTCAGAAATGTGGAAAGCGCAGCTTTAAAGGCACCATTTCGGGAGATCAGGATTTGAAATTGTGTTGCTTTATCTTGGCGTTTTTCTTTTCACAAGTTTTTCCTTAGGCCTTGCCATGGAGTTCTTTTTCTGTCTTCCTTTCGCTCCCCAGTGTACATATGAAAGTTTGCAAATGCTTCATGCTGGAAGGGTTGAGAAAAACTGAATAAATTCAATATGCCCAACTTCATAGTCACTGGCTCCACATGCACTTGCTTGCTGTGAAGAGGAAAGCATGTAAGAAAATACACTGCCCCTGAAGGAATGAATCCGTCTCAAGTATAATTGCTCATTTTTAACCATCCCTTGTGTCTTACCAGAGCAGATTACTAAAGAGGCTGGCCCTGTGGCACGAAGCGCTCTCAGCCACAGCTCTTTGCAACGGGCCCATTTCTAGCCCTCCATTCTGGGCACACCAGCAATGGCTCACCACTGCCAGCTCTCTGGGTCTCTTCTGAATTCCCTTATATTCCTTGAGGTTCTCACAAGGCTCGTGGTCTCCTGGCAGCCGAAACAAAAACTGAAAGAAATCCACCTAGCTCTGCAAATGGCATGCAAGGAGCCATTTCCAGTCATGTGGCTACTGGAATCACTGAACTCAGAACCCTGAGCTAATGGTCTTGGAGAACTTGGGACCAAACTCTAGGTCCAGAAGGGAAGAGCAGATTCAGTCTCCAGCCCAAAGCCCCTTCTATTTCCTGCGGAGAAATGAGGAAGCAACAACTCATCTCAGATTTTCTGGAGCAATCCTGTTTCGAGCATTCTTTTTTTTTTTTTTAGCTGAGCCATCCTGCCACCTGTTGGC